GGCTCCACTACCGCAGATTCTCAGAGACAAAGACTATGATTTCTGCATGGTTTGCACCGGCGATAACTAGCGACGCTGTAAAAGGTCTGGCTTATTAAAAAATGCTATCTTTTTTTTCCATGATATAAAAGCAATTCTTATTCAGATGCGTTTAATTTAATTGATAAATACCTAATATCTACCCATCTAAAACATCGAAATGTCTTAAAAATATTTGATAACTTGATGTTACTTTTAGATGTATGCGGGAGAATGCATAACTTTCAAACTATAGCGCTTAACTTTTTCTCCCAACCGACTAGTGAATTACCACAGAATTGTAATATGTGATCAGTATGCTATCTATCTCCATCTGAAATGTTGCTGAAGTTTTGCCAGGCCACAGTGAGGCTGGATTTGGAATTCCTGGTCTATTTCTCTTACCAATGCAAATGGAATTCTAAACGCGCTCATCCATAGCGCATTGATAAAATGAGAAAAGTTGTGATGCGTGTGATGGTGACGATCTGCTATTTTGAAGGCCTTAATAAGCAATAAGACATTATCTTAGCATAGTTGCCGAAGGGACCAAAACCTCAATAATATTCCACTATTTGACGTCCCCGTGCTTTTATATCTATATCAAGCCTGTCAATTCATACTATTTACCATAGTCCAGTTGGTAATTTCTGGAACCTACTGCATCTACGATATAGTAAATCAAATGACCAACAAAAGATATACATATCGCCAGTGGATTAGAAGGTGATTGGGAGCAAAATTTTGAGTAAAATATTAAAAGAGAAGGAAATTGTGCTCTACAAGGGCGGATAAGAACTCTGCTACTTGGAGCAAAGTCGCGACTTTAATATAACTTGAAATGTCCATATGGCATCGGTTGAGCATTTCGTGAGAAGCGTGGAAATGATTTCGCTTCCAGTTAATAAATGAAAGATGAAAGCTTTTGAATGATTAGAAGTGTTTTATTCATTTACGGCATATAGTTATTCAAATTGCTAAACTTCTTAATGTCAATCAATTCTATAGAGGAGTTTTTTTAATGGCATTTAACAATGCCGAGATTGGAGACAAATAACATTTGCATAAGCAAAACTGATTCAATGATTGCTAATTGCCTTAGTGCGAAAATGCCGTTAACTTTATCTTGGGTCCACTCATCTTTGATTGATAATTTTTAGGCGCTTTTTGTCGTCTTTAGTTAACAACTAACTTTTGAGTTTGAGAATAACACTAAAGCGTTAGTCACGAAAACAAGCAACACTCAGCCGAATTTTTGTCCAGTACTTTCTCAGAAAATCGTAGGTGCCTTGGGGAAAAAGTGAAATGGGAAAAATACAAAGGTCCACTTACAACTTGTTAGCGACATGTTCTTGATGCTTTTATCACAGTTTCGAAAAGAACTTGGGAATGTCTATTCTTTCACTTTGATATGTTGAGGGCTGAGCAGCTTAGGTCGACAAGCGAAGGTTTC